TAACATGCATTGATGCCAAAGAGCCCCCCTTCCCCCCCCCAGGTTTCCAGGTTTGAAGTCCCTTACACTAACAACCAATACCTTTTTCTTTCTTTTTAGGAGATTTTAGGAATGACTACCAGAAATCCATGAAGTTCAGGGTCTTACCTCCAACAGCAGCTTTTATTAAGTACTTCAGAAGAAGGTGGATTTCTCTGAAAGATTTAACACCACAGAGTGTCCGAGAAAGAAGCTGGTGCCGTTAGGCACCAGCCTAATGCCTGGGTGTTGGCGGTCAGATGAAAGGACCAGCAGCAGCTCCTGGTTGGGGTGCAGAACATAAGGCCATAGAACTAAAATATCAGGCATTTTTTATTCACTGTTGCTTCCTTTCTTGGTACCATGCCATATCCCAGAAGGGATGCAGCGGAAGCTCTCCCCAACGCAGAACAGACTTTTGAGCAACCTGGGGAAAAGCACCTTGCGAAATTCAGCCTGCTCACGTTCACTCTTACCTGAGAGGTGAAACATAGCCAGAACCACCTGCCTCTTGAAGAGCGCCCTGCATGCAAACTCCATCGCTTGTCTGAAACAGTCCTGAAAATAAGCAATTTCTGAACTCTGCTGAGCTCTTTTGCCTCAGTATTGAGATATTATGAGCAGCCGTGTGCTCCACGGATGAACAACGTGGCAAAGTTAAGACAGTTTGAGCTCTCCTTCTCATTCCCTACTCTGGAGGCAATAATGTTCACAAATGTGCTGTTAGGATCCTCTGTTCTTCCCTTTTCCCAGGGTGCTGGGAAGCACACTGCCTGTCACCATTTTCTCCTTAGCACAGAGATTCCTGGTTTAGCACATGCAGTTCAGAGGGTCTAGTAAGAATGAATATTTGTTTATCTCCCTCTCCTAAGCATTGCTGTACTTGTTTTTTTTTTCTTTTCTTCTTCTTCTTTCTGCTAATCCCTTTGATGTTTCTCCTGTTGTGCTCTATCAAACGACAAAGTCTGAATGAGAAGAAGCAAAAATTTGCATAAGTTTATAGCTCTCTGGGCTTGCACCCCCTTACTATTTGAGTAAACGCAGAATCTGGCATTTACCGGCACATCCAGGTGAGTCAGCAGCTCCCTAGATATATGAAGTCTCAGCAGGGACCTAAATCAGCTAGAACTGGAGGAAGTGCCCAAACTCAGCAGAGGTGTGTCAGATCTGGCTTGAAACTTAGCACAGCCTGTGCATTGTCTGGTCCCTCTACACACTATACTGATCTCATCTACTCTCCTGCCCCCATCCCCAGAGCAGCACTGCTGCAGGTCCCTCTCCCCGTAAACTTCCTCCTACAAAGAAATATCTAGTTCCTGCCTCTCAACAGCAGGCTGGGATCCTGACATTACATTGTGCCTCCAGTTCATGCCTCTGCAAATTCCCCCCCAATTTATCTGCATGGTTTGTGAGATCCCCCTTCATTGTTTTAATACAAGAAAAAAGACAATGAAAACATTGATTAGATTAGATTGATTAACTCCTTTAGACTTACTCCTTTAAATACTTCTCCGGCACCCAAAACAAACATATCTTCTGATCGTTAAATACCAGAATTTCTCTTTCACTTTAATGCTACAGGGACAGACATATTTGGAATCCCAGAGGTAGCTACTCACAGTTACTTGAACTCACATGCTCCAACAAGGTCAGCTTGCAGAGAATTCAGCGGTTCAGCTAGAGAAATGGTGAAAGCAGCTGTGATTTCTTTATAACCGTGCAGACTCATCAATGGAGAGACTGCTACAATCTTCTCCTTGGGCCTTCCATGCAGCGTACAGTCAGGTGTCCTCACCGGTTTGTTAGACATCTCTTCGGAGACTCTCTTTCAGTCTCTGTTGTTAAAGACATTGGCTATTCTTCCTCCTGCTACCGCTAAGCCAAAGCCCCTTCTCCTGAGCAATCCCAGTGGTTAATGAATTCAAGAAGCTGTGGTAGAATCCCAGCAGCACATCCCTCCCTCCCCATGTCAGATGGCCAGAGTCTCAACAGGACCCAGGCAATTGTTTTCATGGGGTAGTAATGGCCCCATTTAAGAAAGCGTGGGTAGAGCCTTTAATGGAAAAGCAGCACACACATTCATTTTATACCTAGAATTTTATTTTATCACCAGGCTTATCACTGACATCTAAAAATAAAATCTGCATTTACAAATAGTCTAGTGCAAATTAAAGATAGATTTGGCCAAAAAGACAACAGATTGTGTATAACACAAAAGAAATGAAATGTGTGTATTAGGACGATCTTCCTGGAACAGCTGGAGGAGGTCGCCTAGGAAAAAAACAAAAAGTAACCCAAAATTCATGGGGAGGGAGGGAGAAGAGAATTAAAACAAAAGGTTAAGATACAACAAAATGGCTCATATACAAAATTATCCAAATAAAATGGGTTAAGAGAAAAAGGCACAGAACATGCATAGTAAGGAAAAGAGCAAGAACCAGATTAGAATCAGCTGGCTATCAGCGCAGCATCTGCTTTCATCCTCACCGCTTCCCATCTGACAAGCTGGCGCCAGAGAGCTAGGACAATCACATCACGAGCGCAGGGGTCGTTGGTCAGAAGCTTTCTAATTTTCTTGCAGCAAATAATATCCTCCAGAAGAGCTTTTCCCCAGCCAGCCTTAAAATCTGGATCACAGTTTTGTTTCAAACACTGTTCTTGGAGTAGACCTTTTAAAGTGAGATTCTGATGGATTTGAGGCACGATCAAGCAAGATGATCTATGTGTTGGATTGCGATATTTGGAGGGGACATTGCTGAGGAAGGCTAAAAGCTTGGGTGATGGCAGTGCAATGAATCTACTGCCAAAACTAGCAGGAAAGACCCTTGGCAGTCAATGGCTTACTGCAGCGGTTAGAGAAGAGCGGCTGCTCATCCTAGTATCCAGCAGACAGCACTGACATATTAGCTGGCCAACACGCAGGGAAACAACTCACACAGGGATATTTAATATACTCCAGCCAGACAGGACACGTGTGTGACACTCCTGTCTACTGAGAGTGAGTGCAGAGACTGCTTCAGGCATATCCATTAAAAGCTATTCAAAAAAAACGCTCCCAAGTGTTACAGTAAACTCACTGTGAATACTACGGGATATTGTTGCTTTTCTCATCCCACGTTTTGCTCCCCTCAACTTTCCCAATACCTAAGGATCAGCACAGTGACTGTTGCGCTCAGTGAGGAAATGCCCCCTTGGGTAGGAAGCTATTGTGCTCTTGCTACTTGCTGTGCCATAACAGACCACTCCTGCTCTTCCAAGCACTGACTCCAGTTACTTGGCTCTTACTAATCTGAAGGAGGAACTGAGTAATAGAGACATGCTGAGGCATCTGCATGCTCATACGCAACCACTTTAGGGAGAAATCCCTTCCAGACGGAATGTACACACATGCACAATTTCACTCCAACTTCTGCTCTTGAGGACTCAGTCTGGCCCTCTGCTCAGCCCTGAATCGCCCGCAAAACATGTTTTCCCCAGTAATGAAACAAATATCAGATATTGCCTGAAAAACACTTATCCATTTCCCAGTAAAACATCTCTGCAGCACTTCAAGCCCCTAACAAGATAGCAAGACTTTCCACGGGTCGCTTCCCTCCCATCTCCCCCTATATTTAAGCGACATCTCTAGTGATCTGAACTGCAACAGGTGTCCCTCTGATGAATCTTTGCTGCAGTCCAAACAGAGAAGTGGAGCGAACCATGCTGAGATTATGGTGAGGACCACTCACGCGCATCCATAAAGTAATAATAAAAGCCCATCAAGAGTTACAGTTTATTTCAGGTTCAGAAATGCAACATAACATTTTTACAGCGGGTGTATGCAATGCTCAGTAATGACCATGGTTTCAGGAATCGACTTGCTGTGCTCAGATGCCAAAAGCAGGAACCATTTACAGACTATGAAGCCAATGGCAGATGTTTTGGCTCATATGAAGTACAGCATTAACATACAGAGCAAAATTCAGAAAGAAATTAAGCATTAGCTTCTTACAAAAAGAAGACATTGTTTACACCATTCTGGAAAAGTAAAGAAACAGGAAGTGAAACAAACAGCTGGCAAGACGGAACAAATCATATATCAAGCAAGAGTGGAGGACTGTCTGGACGGGAGGAGCCATCGGTATCAGCTCGCCTGCAGACAAAGCAAGAGGAAAGACAGGCAGAGTAACATTCATTTACACAAGGGAGCTGTTCTGCTAGAGTCCAGGGGAGGAGGTTCAATGCCAAAAGCAGGAGGCAGTGTGCTTTAAGCACACCAAGACATGAGGTGCCTCCCCAGTATCACATGTGCAAAACAGGTTTGCTTTGAATTCAGGAGGTTGGGACTACTTTAAGACAGAAAGACAGAGCTAGCCAGTAATCTCAATACGCTGTATACATATTGTCTAGTGTAGCTGTCTGCAATATTGAGTATAATATTTCCTATGTTATACTTTAACATGAAATGCCATAACCTATAATGTATCTCTTGAAATATAATAAATATCTCCTTTTATGAGGCTTACTCAGAAAGTGCAAAAAGATCAGCAACAAAATAAACACACGTTAACTATTTACATAAATCTTTTCATTTAACATACAATCTTTTTAATCCTAACACAAGATCCCTTGAGATTAAAGACTGAGAGCTATTTATGGCACAAGCAAGCTCTTCAGCTGTTGGTCAGCCATGATGGGATGAGGTGGAACATGTTCTTTACACAGAGATCTAGGCTTAGCCTAAACGCAGTAACAGATGAGCACCCTCCTGAAACTCAGCTAATTACCAGGCTAGTAACAGATGAGCACCCTCCTGAAACTTAGCTACATGTATCACTCAGCTAATTACCAGGCTCACGTAAGCTTAAAAACTCTTCTGCTACTTAGCAGGAGTCTCCACTACTCCCTGTCAATCTTCTGAGCTTCCCCAGAGGGAATCAGACAACAAGAGAGGAACCCACGCTCCTCAGATACGGGAGCTCAAGCTTAGCTCACCCTGTGTATGGGTGTCCACCGAGGGGGAAGTGGCCTTTCTCAGCCAGCCAATCCCTCTAGCAGGTCCACGGGGATGTACTAGTGAGCTTTTCCTGCTGTCTTTCAGGCCTGGAGTGAGCTGCTGCCAAGGCTGCTCCTCCGAGAAGAAGGAATGGGGAGAGACAAAACTCGCCAGATGCCGGAGCGAGCAGGACAGACAAACTCGTTCCAGGCACTGAACAGCACGAGGAAATGGACCGTGGTTAGAAGGTGAGAATTTAGTCACCTGGAAGTAGCAATTTCTTGGGGAAGAACTTAGAATTGTTGTTTTCTGGATAAATGCTATGCAATTGATTTATTCAGGAAAGTGTATATGCAAGAAGTTAGATATAAAATCATCAAACTCTGAATCTGGGCTCAAGGTTAATTAACCTACACACCTAAAAGCGTTGCATTTCAGGAGCAGGGCCAGATTTAGGTGTGATCTGAATGGGGACGCAGAAGAAGGGAGGGCTCTGCAGCTGCACACTGTGTCCCACGACCTCAAAAATGAGTGCAGAACCAGACGGTGTTAACCGTGGGACTACAAGCCCCTCACTCCCTCCTCTTCTTTCTGGTAAATCTACCCTGCAGAGTTTCATTTATAAACCAAGATTACCATTACAATTTCTTGTGGGGCAGAGTTAAGAGCAGCACTGAGTTGTGATAACTATCTATTTCCTTAGGCCTGACAGAAACCGTGAGTAAGGTAAATTAACGAGTCTCAAGTATGGAAGAGCTAATTAAACATTTTCAGACCAAGAATTATGCCATCTAATTGAGGCTCCTAACTTAACAGCATTACTACCCTGGTGTCTTACGCAGTCACACCAGCCTGAATCACCTTCTGGAGGCACTGTCTCCTCCCACTGAGCAAAGGAGACCTTGGAAAACTAAGGCTGTACTGAAGCGCTTAGATTGGGTGTGATGAAGCCAGGCTTTGGCCTTACAGCATCACTGAATTTTAAGATTTTGGGTTAAAATGATAACTTTCTGTGGCTGAGGTGGAAGAGGCGCTAAGCATGGCTTCCTGACAAAAGACAGCTGTCAGTCCAGTAACAGAGAGCTTTGATAACCTATATACAGGTTTACTGGCTAGGCAACAATATGGACTACTTTGGCTGCTTACAAAAACACATCTGATAGATGCATTGTGTGTTACAGAAGAGAGTGCTACACAGCGGAAAACAGAAGAAAAAATCATCAAAAAATATTTTCACTTTTCTGTAGTAAAAACCAATGTAAGTGCTGTTGGGTTTACATCCTTTTTTCCCTTGTAAGCAATTCTGCGTGCTTGGTGTTGAAGATTTGGTCCTGTTCTCTAGACAAACATTGGCCTTTTCAGCCATTCACTGAGATCACCAAAATGCCGTTGTACTGACAAATTCCATCTTCACTGCGCTTCAAATGCTGACCTCCAGGCTCCCCAGGTGTGTGCCATAAGGATGAGGTTGACAGGAAATTAAAGTTAAGCTAACATACAAATCATGGTGCTTTCCTAAGCTCATCTCTCTCATGCAAGCAGAAACATCATTTGCTTCAGTGGTGAACAGACATAACTGTTATTTAATCAGCAGCCTGAGACTATTTAACAGGGAAAAATCTCCGCTAGTTGTGGCTCTTTGACTGGATTCTTCCTAACCACAGAGATGCAACATACTGTAGCCCTACATGCAGTCTCCCAGAATAAATTTATTAGATTGGTTATACTGGTGGCCTTTGAAACCGCCAACTGCTTTGCCTAGGGATCTGAAACTGTAATTGTAATAACAACAATTAATATTTTCTGAAGACACAAGGCCAAATTAATCTCTAGTATAATTCTATTGACTTAAATTTTAAGCCATAAGGATGACATCAACCCTAAGTGTTTAAAATTAAGTGATACAGTTAAGATTTAAGTTAAGAATTTTTTTTACGATGCACTAATATACAGTTTGTAAAACAACAGGCAGAGAGGACCTCGGAAAGTGAACATCTGCTAAAACAATACATTGCCAGCATGCACAGCTGAGTGCTTCTCAGTACCTATTTGGATAAAGGGACTGCCAATCTGAGGCGTGCGGGACTTTGAGAGATGCAAATAGAAAATCTTTATAAAGTGGAACTTCATTGACGGGCTTGAGCCAATACCTTAAATCCAAACTGGATCCTTGGAACGCTCAAATGCCATAGCTAGGCCATAGCTCTGTCAACTGGCTCACACAGTGGCCAGAGGAGTAGTAGCCTATTACAGCTGTGCATACACGTTATGTACTCTTGTGTTTCACAAAATGACCAAACGCAGTCCTCAGCTCTCTGGATCCTGCCAGGCGGTATCTTCATACGTATTACCCACCCACCCACACACATAGTGCTTCCAATGAGTTCAGTGGGGGTACTAATGTGAGTGAGTGCTATCAGAGGACAAAGCAAGCTGGCACATGCTGGCCTGTCATGTACCAGCCCTTCAAACTGCCTTTCTCACGTCCTTGTCGCAGGGTGCAGCAGCTCCACGCTGAGACTTCCAAGTTATCTGCTGGGACTTCTGAACTTCTATTTCTACAGAGCACTACCCAGTCCAAGCCGCAGCCTGCTCCTTGCTGATCACCAAATCAACTTCGGATGTCAGTCACCCATGTGGAAAGAAGGATGTTGTAAAACGCTCATTGTACCATACGCACCCTTCTTGTTTAACAATATTCTTTATAAACTAGGCTTCTGATGAGGAGAAACTGTAGGAAAAGCAGCCATCCAGCAGGCTTGCAAGAGACATGGAAGTGTTGGGCCCACAAAGAGCTTGCATAAGAAACAACATTGCTTTTCTCAGCCCAGTTTAGCCATGAAAGAAGAAAACGGGCATAACCCTCTAATTCCAAATGACAGAAAACTTTCCTTTAAACGAAATGCCTTACAAACCTGAAAGCTACATATAAAAGCAAGATGCTATTCAGATAAAAGAAAAAAAACAGCAGACTCGGTCAAAACGTGCACACACACACAAAGTCAAGCCCTCATGTAACTGTATAGGATTGTGAGCACAGCTGTCTGGGTGAATACGTATGTCAGTAAGTTAGCTAACATCAGCTACGGCACAAGGAAAAGTCAAGGTAGCACAGACCTTCCCAAAACATTTAAGACCTCATAAGCAATGCAGAATGGACAGAGAGCATATCAGTAAAATTGGTTACTTGCCTATAGATGTCCATACATGCGACTATACATTGGTTATTGCGACAGTTATCAAGCAATTTGCTTCCACATATTTGGTTAACAATGAATGGCATGCCAGAAACTTCGTTTAGTCTAACAGGGACGAATCTAACGGACGAATTACAGTGGGCCGAGTAGGTGAAGGGGGTGGTCTTCGACTGGAGAGAGAGAAAGAAGAAACATTAAGCAGAAACACTGAGAACGGACCTTTTGCTCTAACTATGTGAACATGCACATGCACTTAAAACGTTATAGTCTTATGCCCATTTACACTGAAGTACGCCAGTCCTAAACATCCGCAATAAGGAAGAAAGCAAAGGCTTTCTGTAAGCTAAGCCTTATTCTCACACATGGGACAGCTTTTCTCTCTGGACAAGTCTATTTATTCTTTGAACATAATTACCTTCTGTGCCATGTAAACGATTAGTGGATGAGCATTATTCCTGTTTTCTCAAGGGTCACTCCCAGCCTTAGCTCAGCCAGTTCTGCCTGGCACCACTTTGTACTCTTTAAAAATATACCTAAGTGACTGCTCTTCACAGCTCATCTGCTCCCTCAGCTAGCTATTTAGCACTCTGCCAGGGTTTTGTTGCTGCAATTTACTCCAACCCATCTCTTAGGCAATGTTTTTGCGCCTCGTTTTCTTTAACAAGAAGTATCCATGCTTTCTTCAGCAGTCCAGACCACCACAATGGTATGCAGCGGTTCTACAACGGCATAAACCCATGGTCTGAACTCAAAGTGGGGAGCCAAGAACTCTTCAATTTTAATCCAGCTGTTACAGACCTCATTAATGACCGAGACAAATCATACTCTGTCCTCCACCTATGACAGTAGGGACAGTCCCTATCTCAGAAGATGACAAAGAAAACGTGTTTCATTCTGTCAAAACTATATGGAAGATGAACAGAATGCAAGAACGTGTTAATCTTCTTTGAACCAGAACGTAATACATGAGACAAATTTACACTTGGGGGAAAAAAAAAAAAAAAAGCTCGTTTGGCTCCAAGTGTATCTTGTACAGCGACATTCTCCTTCGGTGAAGAAGTGAGAATTTTAATCCCTACCATACAATAAATACAAAATATGCCAACTGAAACATTCATGTCAATCAGTAAGCTGAAAAAAAATGAGTGATTGTAATTTCTTCATGGCGTATTTTTCTTACAGAAAAATGTTACTGTGTTAAGTATTGTCTCTTGTGTTGCTCCAGCGTAGGTCTTCCGGACCCATTTCCAAAATCTGCAGTTTCGTAAAGAACCACTTCTAAGGCTCTGCATTCCTGTTTTAACAATCCTTTGTTGAAATGCCTCACATTGCATTGTTTAGTGCTTACTGAAAACATCATATCATGTGCATGCAATTTACAAACAAGGGAAAACGCATACAGCTGTCTTCATATCAAATTTAAAAAGACACCAGCGCAGCCTTGTATTTTAGTATCAGGTTGAATGCAGCACGCTGACTTCAAATAACGTAATTCAGTCAAATTACCATTTCAGAGTAGCTGGGTCAGAAACTAGAGAGCACAGCGGGAGAGTATCCTAGATTTAATCAGCAAAACCAAAGCTGAACCCAAAATGCGTCTGAGCCACTTTCTCCTTGAACTAGAACCATTAGTACACCAGAACCGTTACTGTGAAGGTTTCATTAAGCCCAGTCTAGAACTGAACCAGGAAAAAGACCCAACAAGATCTCGTCCAGAGATCGACTCAAGAAGCC